ACAGGTATGCTGAAAACAACAAATGAAACCTGCAACAGGAGTTCAGAAGGTACGCTCTACTGAACTGCGACTGAGAACAGAGCTTTATTTAACATTTACATTCATTTGCTTCTGATCAGGGCAGTGCACTTTTCAAGATTCCCACCACTAAAAGTAAAGAGCATAACAATAAGATGATATTTCAATAAATTTGCATGTTATTAATATCCACCAAAAGACTTGTTTATACAGAGAGTAATTGTTGCCAGTTTAATTGTAGAGGTTTTTCATTGTGGATTCCTCATCATTATAGGTTTAATGCACAGTTCCTCTGGACTTAACCCTATGATTTAAAGAATGTAATTATGCAACATTCTCAATTATTAAAAAAACATGTAATTACTGTATATGCTGGAAAGGTGGATTAACAATGCATGTAAATGAAAGAGCCTTCACCACTCCTGGTGTTAACACTGAACAAACATTCAAACTGCTGACAAGGTTTTACTTGTTTCTTTGGTCAGCAGCTGAAAGCTTTGGGGACTTTGTCTTCAGTATGTCCTATCAGCTGTAAGCCGGACAGGCATTAACAGCAGACTCATCAAATAAATCCACAGCCTGTGAAAAATCCTAGACTTCATTTGATTTCGCATCTGCTTTCCACCTTGCAGATTATCGTTCATACTTTTTCCTTCATAAAATCTATGCTTCCTAGACAGCCTCCTCATCTCTTTAATGCTCCAAATGTGGTAAGCTGTGGTTGCCGCTGGCACCTAGTTGGACCAGAAACTGCTGTCAGTCTCAGTAAGCATCTTGACCGTGATCCTGTCCATTACTGCCTCCAAAGCTGTCACATTTTCCCTTAGCTGGTGGGTGCTGCAGTGTGTGCTCTGGGTGTGCTCTCCCCCCAGGGTGGCAGGAGAGGATGGGGGGGGAAGGAAGCAGGTAGTTTAGGTGAATACTATTGGGTTATAAATAGTTGTAGCTAAGATAAAACACATATTCACCTCTGCTCAGATAGGAATTAATTTGAAAAATTAGGTTAATATTTCCCATTTGATTCATGACTCCCCATTGACTCTGACAAAATAGAAATGGTTGTAGAGAGCTCCCATGTCACATAGTTTCGGTGCTTTGATTAGATTAGCTAGCTATCTCATTAACTTATCACGAAAATAAAGATGATATCCCTTGGATATAATATGGCTGAAATCAGTGGATTCAGAGAATTCACATTAACCATTCCCAGCCCACTGAAAACAAGAAGAAAAATCTAAAAAGCCCAAAGCAGAACCACAGCTTGTCACTTATTTTGTAATTAAATAGAACAGGTATAATAAATGTAAATTGTGAAAACAAAAAAGGATTAAGCTGTAACAAAATGCCATTAATTCTGAAAAAATGTTTTTCAATCCTCTTTTCTGTCTGGTTACTAGGCTCTGATTTATAATTGTTTGAATTTCAGCAACCATCCCCCTGGGCTTTATTGTCTCAATACCTCCGGACACTGAGACATATAGGACATATAGACAAAAACACACCTTGCATTGGTTAGGCTTGCTAGCGGGAGGGGAGGATTGATTTGTCATACCTGCAAATAAATAGCAGCAGTCAAAATTTCAAACCACTTTAACATATCTGTGGAAAACAATGGTTGCAAGAAATATTTGCAATTCAAATGTCAGCAATTTTCTTCTCTCCTTATGAAATGTCCTTCCAGTACTTTTCAAAGGATTAGTTATATATTAAAAGACAGACTTTCACTACTAGGGTACTGTCTTTGGAATATTTCTGACTCAAGCATAAATCCATTTACCTTTCAAAGATTGTTTTGTAATTCTTTTTGGGGATGCTCACTAATTACTGAACAAAGCCTGCTGCATTGAAGACGGGTTTATTTCTGCACAGAACTTTAGCTGCCGTGAGAATTCGCCAAAGCTAAGTCTATGCAAAACAGTATATAAAGTGTTCTGAAAAAAATAAGACTCAGAAATCAGGAAGCCAAGGTATTTGAGCATGGAGCATGAAAAGCTCCATGCAGCCCACACTATGACTGTTCAGAGACGTCAATTTTTCTCTTGCTCTCTTTCAAACTCTCTTTTGAATGTTTTCAAGAGAAAAAGGTATGTCAAGGTTTTCACACTGGAAACAARGAAACAGACGAGCAAGCAAACAAACAAGCAAAACATTTTGCGATTGGCAAAAATGGCATGTAGAAATGATGAACATGGTCTTGACCTCTCCAAACTCCTCATCAAAAATCTTTCTCAAAATCATGGACTTCCATCAAAGCTTTCCAGATTTGTCAGAAGCAGCACATTCCTGAAATTTTGTTTTTGGTAAAAAGTGATCCATTCATATCCATCTTCATATTTATCACTGTTGTTTTCAGTAACAACCTCTTAACAACTCAGAGATTTTAAAGCTGAAAAAAATCTGTAAGCTGCATTAGTCACACTACATACAGAGATTATTGCTGGTGTGTAAAAAGTAAAAGCAAATTGAAAAATCTAGAGCAAAAAAAAAGTTCAAAAAACCTTGATTTTTAATTCTCATTTCTTTTGAGTTGATTTTATGCAAAATAGGTGTAGAGGCRCATATATCTCTTTACAATAGTCAGGATATTTTAACTTTTGTAGCAGAGAACAGTTTTTTTGCTGTACAAAGCTGATAYGTGTAGAAGTTGGTACGTAAGACCCTGAACACTTGTCCTGCTACAAAAATGATGGTAGCCACTTCTGGGTGGATAACTTTACCTTTTCCTTTTCAAAAGAAAAGCTAAACAACAGGAGGCATATTTGTAACCTAAKCTGTCACAGAATACACATGTTTACACACCTACAAACAAAAACTTTACAGTTAAAACCCCCCAAATAAGCCAATAACCTGAAGGTACAGACAGGTAGGTTATCTGGGGCACACCAATGGGGCCTGCAATATGGTAGAGAGCAGTCTCTGCTGCACTTGCGTTCAATCAGCAGGAAAATGTTCTCTCTCTCTGCAGGCAAAAAGCTTTGAAAGTTAATGACTGAAATTGAATAGGAATGCAAAACTTAAGGGAGAGAAACAGTATTWATAAGAATGACTCTGGCTTATACAAGTGTATACAGCACACCTGCCACTGACAGCTCACAAATTTAYATTTATATTTTCAAGCCTTCAGTCTTTCTATTTTTCTCCCAGTGAGCTCACAAAGGAAGAACTCTGGAAAGAATACCTTTAGAAGATAAAAACTCTCTTTTTTTTTTTTGTAAGGGAAGCCATAACTGTCTTTCTAGATAGAGGGATTCATAACCAAAAGAGAGAAACAACAACAAAAGATGGTGATGCAATCCAGCAGCCTCCTCAGGAAAGAGTGTCTCACTTTGCATTTAAGCTTGCAATCACTTGCAAATTACCTTTGTGAAGGAGAAAGCTGCACACAAGAATATTTCAAAAGGATGGGAAGAGAGAGAAAAGGAATATTTATATACAAAAAGTATTGTTTGTGCTTTTGATAGATTTAGAACCAGGAGTTAACTTCTAATGTACTAACGTGGGACTCGTAATGCATTTACCTCTCCTTCTACCCCACATTTGCTGGGGACACAGAGGAGAAAGCAGGACAGCAAAGCACCGTGTCACTCAAACACAATGTCTGGCAGATGAACCTCTACGAGGCATGAATATTGCACTGGTAATAGATAATATGTTCTCCTAAAAATGCTGGAGTTATTTTGTATAAGAGCTGGTAATTAAGAGCTGAAGGATGTGCCTMAGTCCTACCAGTCAGAAACAAAGCCACAGTGAGGTTTTGGATTTACAGGAAATATCTTCAGCAGAGACAGGAGGGGAATATCTTAGGAAGCAGCATTCTGATACGATTGATTCCTTTTGTATTAATAGATAAAATGTTTTTAGCTTAGCTTTAAAAATAACCTCTTTGCTTCCTGCAAATTTACATACCAGATTAGACTATGGATAAAAAAAAATTACAAGATAGTTGAATGGAAACCAGGTGCTTCAAGTAAACAAGAAATCTTTGATGTAATGTTTGCAGAGCAGAGCCAGCCACAGGTGTTTGCAGGGGGAGGTAGGAAACATGAGGTGGTTTTGACCCTACTCTTCATCTTCTGACCACTTTTAAAAGACAAGAAGGCAACATCTGCTGCTGGGCAAACCAAGAGTTTAACAGGGATGCTGAGAACCTTGGTAGACTGCTTGCCTTGTTTGCACCAGGGCAAACAACAAATTTGTGGACAGGCAGTGCTAGAGTTTTTCTCATCCTTGTTGTTCTCTCTTTCCCTAACATAGAGGTAAYGGATGGCAGATTAGTGGATTTTCCCTGTGATTTGCTTCCCATATGAGTAATTCCAAGGGGTGACAGGGGAATTACCAATTCCCTGCACAAGAACTGTGCCAAGAACCTCGGCAGTCTCACAAACTTTCCTGGAACACCTTCTAATGCCATGTTTGTTGTACTTAAAAAAGGCTGAATACATGGGGAAAAAAAGAGCTGTGCTCTAAAGGACTGAAGCCCAAGCAGCATTCAGCCCAAGGCTCAACAAGATTTATAATACAGATTGTCTAATTTTATGATTTCTTCCTCCAAAATGTTTTGTAGAGAAAATACAAGTACTTATACAGAGTATCTTTGTTTCCTATGAATAATATTTCCCCAAAAAATGAGACAGCTTTCCAACTGAGTTATGCTAGGCAGTTGTATTTCAGACCTWAAGAGTCTTGCCAAATCCCATCTATTGATTTAAGGTAGGTTCACAGATRCCATATTAAGTTTTTCCTGGTATAAACAGCATGGATCTGAAAGAGAAACAGACAAAAGTTAATGCTGTTTCTCTCTGACTATCGACCTTAGATTTGCCTAGGTAGRTCAGAATTATTGTCTTCTCTACAATCAATACATTTGAATCTTCATTACTACRGAGTGGAAAATATTACTATTAATATAAAAATATCCTGTCAGAATGGACCAGTCAAACGACCAGAATTGCTCTTGTACCTTTTTTAGCAGCTTCTCTACATGCCATTTTTGCTGCAGACAAATAAGAGAGGTAAAAGCAGTAAGTGAGGGGGGCTTTGCATTTCAGTGCGCATATGGTACACAGTAGAAACAACAATTCCTCTTAATAGAACTTGTAGAAAAAGTTGCAGGTTTTGCAAGGGAAATAGTCTTTCACTATCCCCYTAATATCAAAGGCTTGTAGTTAACAGCTGCCCTTTTTCTTAGGAGGATTGTTGGCCTCTGAGCTGATAATTGCTTTGTTGTTCTCATAGTTTCTTGCTTCTCAGCCACGGGAGATTGAAAGTTCTATTTTCAGCGATTTCAGAAATAGTGATCTGTGAATACAGTGGTGAGGGATGACTCAATAACTCAGACTTGCTGGTGACACATGCAAGCAACTGCATCTATCTTACTGAAATCCCCTTAAAGTTCAGTGAAAAGCAAAGACATATTACTTTTCTTGGGAATCTCCTCTTTATTCAATACAAGTACCAAGTACCAATTAATGTTAATGGGAATTATGCTTACCCGAAGGGGAGAACAGGACAATAAATATTTTATCAATTCATTGTACTTATTCCAGAACAACTATTCTCTACATATTGTCATTAATTTTGTATGACAAGACAAACTACTTGTTCCCTTTCTTTTGACTAAACTTGAAGCCTTGAGTTTAAAAAAAAAAAAGTAATTGTGCTAACTAGCGCATTAGTAGGCTTCTTCTGTTTTGTTTTGATTTTCTAGGTAGCAYCTTTGTACTTTATTCAATTGCTAAAACAGAGCTCTGATCACTACAGTGTCTTTGGTAAGAATACACTGGCCTCTGTAGCCCAAACCCAGGAAAGGCCAGAAGAGACAAAAGAGAATCGTTCCGTTTGAGAATCAATGGTATCAAAGCACAAGAATTTCTGAAGTTTCTTAGTGTGMAATGACAGCATCAGTTCTGAGGAATGAAAAAAATCGTCCTTGGCACAACACAAGAGATTTTTAACAGCCACAACCTGATTCAGAATCATAAAGAAAGGTCTTTGGAGAATTGGCTGGAAGAACAAAGAGTATTTTGCAAAATTTTTCCAAAACATAGATTCACCTCCAAGTCTCTTTTTCATGAGGAGACATCATCTGGGTTTATTCTCAGAAAAGATACTTGGATTTTAGGGTTTTATAAATTGCTCCTTTTTGTTATTTGACTCCGTGATGCACAAACCACCCCGACTCAACCGCTGAAATTTGCTAGAACTAAGGGAAAYGCAACTTTCTGCCCAAGCCCAGGGAAAGAGCAAGCAACAAAYTAACAAAATGATTCCCTGAATGCACCCAGGCTTCTTCTACTGAAATTAACCTATAGAATATTACCTATACCATACTACCTACGTAGTACCTAAAGGTCCCAATAATAAGAATCTGAGAGCAGAGTCTACTAAAAACACATCAGAGTGCAACCACAGGCCAGAAATGTATCTGTGTAAGCCACCATATTCACAGTGGAAGATGAATCAACTGTGAATATTAATTGAGAAAAAGAAACACTTATTTCATACTTAAGTTTGATTCACTCGCTTCTGTTTCCTAGATAAACAGTTAAACCTCATGGGTTTATTTATTTATTTTTTTGCTTTGTTGTCTTCAGTGCCAAAGAACTACCCAGACTACAGAGAAGTCCCTGATGCTTCAGGGCAACAAACAGGCAAGTGCCTGGCTTGTTTCACTGTCACRGGGAATACAAACACAAGTGCTACCAGCCTCCTGATTAATCCGCATTAACTCAATGRCCAGCTTGAGAGGCACTGCTGTGTGGAGAGTAAGAAACTGTCACCAAAGCCTCAGAGAAGCCCCAAAAGCAAGTCTGAGAAAATGAGACACTTATTTACTGGGAAAAAAAAAAACAGTAGACCTTTGGTTTTAGTACAGCAGTATCTCCTCCTTTCTTAAAAATATGTAATTCTCAGCTTTCATAAAACAGATGCATTTTTGGAATAAAAAGGCAGTGTTCCCCCTGAAAATCTTGAAAATCTTCCATTTTCCCCCAATTTGCTTTTTTATTTTTTTTTWAATGGGAAGAAAGGGGAAATGATGGAAAAATATTATCCCCCTCCTCCCCGCTAAAAAAAATCCCTCTTCAGTCTACAAAGCATGTCAGAATATTGTAACAKGGGATGAAACCATTATTTTTCTTTAGTTAGAATTCTCCCACCGCTATATGCTGAAATGATATGCCCACCACGGCAGCTGAAGCTGATTTTGATCTGCACAGTGAGCTTCTGAGGTCAAAATTAAAATACGTTTTTGCAATGAAAGAGATAAAAAGTCCATTAAGAACTCAGTGGAAAAAACATCCAATTGATTTCAACAAGCGTATGAATGACCTTTGATAAAGGCTCCCAGAGGGGWACAAATCTGGGATTATTACCAAGAAAAGCAAGGGTAACAGCTGGAACTCAAACTGAGACAATGACCCAATAAAAAAGATTTTAAGCTCATTCTTTTTCTACTAAAATATTAAATATATCTGGAAATAATTACTACAGGAATATCCGAAATGTTTTGACAACTAGTTGCTATGAGGGAGAAAAAAAAAATGCAATGAATGCAATGCAAGGTTCCAGGTAGTTCAAGGGAATGTAGAAAACTTCAGTTTTCCACATTCCAATGTGTGAAAACCCTCAGTCTGTCTATAAAAGCTAACACAGCGCACATATATATGTATATATTTATATATATAAATTTGTAGGAAGAGGCCACTACAATGTTTTAATCTGTTGGCAATTGAATGAGAAAATCTTTTTTTAGACATATTGGCATATTTTTGTTTGAAGAACAGCAATGGAGTTTTTTTAAAAGAGTAATATTTGAATTTTTAAAAAGTGTAGATTTTCATCATCAAGGTAACCCTGACAAGATGAGAACATTTAGTTGTCACCCTCCGAAAAGCTGAAGACTTTTGTTCTCCTGTAATATTCAGTCTGAGGTGCCACAGGCCCATCTCTGTGATTGGCAAGTGTCCAGTGAAATCCTTGCTGAGGACTCCTGCACAAGCACAGGAATGCACCAGACCTCTAGAACATGTTTTTGCCTTAGCAAAATATGAATATATTTTTAAGTATTTACTTAAGTGTTGCAACTTGCTGCATACAGCAAATCCTCCTAGAGTTCTACAAGGTAGAAGAGTTGAGTCCTGACAAACTCCAGCCACCACAATCAGAGAGAGACCTTCATGCCCTGTGGGTCAGCCAAGGTGACCATGGAGAACAAATTTTTTCAACAATTTTTTCAAGTATTTATTTTCTTTCCCAGTCCTCCTCAATTAGCAAAATTCATGAAAGGTTCCCCTGGTGCTCAGTCACCTGATAGCCCCTGCAAGATGATAGGCAACCAACACAAGCTGAACTGAGAAAGATGTCAGCATAAATAAAAACATTGCTGCAAAATAAAGGACTCCCGCTGCTACTTGAATGCTGAAGCCTTTACTTTCAAAGCAAGAAGCATCAATCCCATGAAAGAGCTCTTGTTTCCAGAACTCTATTTTTTTTCATGTCTATAAAACAACACAGATTTTATTGTGAAACAAATTGCGTTACGCAGGCTTGCCTGTGCCAGAGCTGGCTTGTCTTTCAAATTTTAGGTCCATGCAATCTTACTGACTCTTTAAAAATTTCTTCATGGCTCAGATCTAAAATCTGTCACCTCTGCAGGGTGACCTAATCATCAGATCACCTTTCACACTAAGATAAAGCTTACATTAAAAATAAATAAATAAAAATAAATAAATAAAATTAAGAACTGTGCCATTCATTTTCATTCTATATCTAACCAGAGCATCGCAAAACCTTGCATTTTCCATGAAGTTCAACCAATGTTTTCTGTCCATTTCTAACCCAGCCCTCCTGCTATCACTTTCATCATAACATATGGACTTCTTYTCTAGAAAAGTATACAATCACAGGAGCAGAACTTACATTAGTAGAAGACATACTCTTCTGTGCTCAGCTAAAATACAGCACATTCTTCACTTCCAATAAATAGTCATGATCCATTTTTCTTCAATATTAAAGAAATGCTCTTTCCTCTGGAATAAAAGTTCTTATAATTGGTCTAGCGTATTTCCTTCAGGCATCTGTTAAGCTAATTATTGCTTAAGRTTACAGTCTTGTAATTATTCCCCTACATTATGAGGAATACTTGGAAAAAAATCCTAAATAGAACTTCTTGTTTGTTAATTTTAACCTAACAATGGTCACGACTAACTCTTTATTGTTTGATTACTTTCTGGTTGAATCATTCATGGATTTAGAATTGTTCAATTTTAATTTTACAACAGTTTATAGCTGAATAAAAATTTTAATTGGTTGCTTGGTGTTTTAAAGCAATAGATTAATCTTCGTGAATCATCCTAACCAGCAGCTTTTAGTTATCTGAGCAATTTACTTACATAATTTATTTCTTTGTATTTGAAGGAAGGATCCACATAAATGCTATTATGTAAATTTCCCATGTAGTACAATAATTGCAGGCAAACTTACGCCTTCAGATCTGATCTTCCAGGAGATTTGAGATATATCAGAATACTTTTCTTAAAAGTCTGTATTTTTCTTGTCTTCAATAAAGCATACTTTATCTTAAAGCAAAATTTTTAAAAACTTCTATGCTGCCTATTAAACACAGCAGGAAATTTAACTGAAGAAAGGACAATGCCAGAACTGAAGCAAGATTTTTGTCCAAATCCTATTTTTTGTCCAATCTGCTCTTTCAAATTCCCTTTTTACAAGACCTGGTGCAAGTACAGCCCTGAGTAATGCCACCACTGCTGTCACAGAATAGAGACTGCACCATGCAGACCCCTCAGGACACAAAGATCCTGGCTTAGTCTGGCTGAGAAACACAAGGCTTGCATCACCAAGCCTATAACATGGGCACTGGGAACATGCAATCAGCACAGCTTGTGATAATCATGAGTGGCAGCTGTGGGAATTGTGCTCTAATTCTGCATTTCTCACTCCCTCTCCCAATCCCAATGTGATGAAACTGGTGAATCCCAGTGCCAGGGGATGCTTAGCTGATTTTCCTGTTTGCAATATTGAGCCATTACCTCTTCCTCCCACCTTATGTCTTTGATGTGAATGAGCTTCCAGAGGGTTTTGATGAACCCCTGGAAAGAGAGGGGCCATGACGCATGTTTCTTCTCTGGGTTCCAGCACCCGAGAAGGGAAGTACATGTGACAATGTGGATTTAGCTAAGCATGAATGCTTTATTACATAAATCACGACTTCATGTTGTTTGTGCAGCCAGTGTAAGAATTCACTTGCAGAACTTATTTATTTAACTGCACATTTTATTCTGCTTGCTGAATAGCAATCTGCCTGACCTTACATGTACTCTGCAAATGCTAGCTAGAGAGTGGCCACATTAAGGGGAACAGCAATGTCCCCCTCCTCTTCTTGAAAATACATTCACCAGAGCATCTTCCCCGCTCTTGGATTTCATTAGCACTGGGAGGATGCATTAACAGCTCATCCCTGGAAGTTTTGTTTTCCAGCCTCTCTGAAACAGTGAATCAAGTGAGTTGTTGCTTCTCAACAACCTGTCTAAGGAACTAGTGCTCTTACATACTCCAGATAGCAAGCAGTGTAGAACGGTCTCAGTTCCTCATCCCACAATTACAAAAGCTTTAAAACTGACAGAACAAAATACTTGGAGGTAACAAACGCTGAAAGCTTGGAGCTTGCAGTTTCCATTAATTTAAATGGYCAATCTGTTCCAAACACTAAAATCTAAACTTTTTGATTACATCCCAGTTCTGGAGCTGAATTGTACAACTTATTTCAATTGTTTTGTTAGTAATGTTTAATCTTCCTTTTAAATGTATGCTTTAAAAAATGTTTTTTCACCTTTCAAAACAAAATGTTCAATATATTTGTTTTCTTTGCTACACTGAAAAGCAACATTTATGTGACAATTGCATTTCTGAGTTCCTTGCACAGCTTGAAATCTCAGCTATCATCTACGTAAGTGATAAACACAGCCCTGGAAAAAATATCAACTGTTGGCAGGTAAAAGTGAGTGAAGAAACAATTCTCAAATTATATGAGGCCACATTTTCAAAATGCCCAAWAGTCATCAGCTTCCACCAGTGTCAAATGCAACATTGAGCCACCCATTTCCAAGCCGAATTGGGAGTCAGTACTGAGCTTTGGATGCAAAGATCTTTTCAAAGTTTGGTCTTTATTTTTACTTAAATACAGCTATTTTTTGCTTACAAAGTCAGCATTTGCATTTTGTTGAGTGTGTGGAATGCCAGTCTCTTTCCAGTTCATCTTGCAGAGTCCCAGAGACAAATCCTACGTGAATTTTAAGACTGTTCTTTCTGCCACTGTTTACGAGGCAGGAGGCTGTCACTGCATTTTGCACCGCATCTAATCAATGCTCAGGGAAGAATTAAAGTTGTTATAGCTTGCTATTAAGAAGACATGTGCTGCTAGATAACTTTGATCTTAGAGACTGCTTAGGGAATGGCATTAAAAACATCCTGCCTTGGAATTTCAAACCATATTTTTATGAAAATGACGGAGATCTCTGTAGCCTCTTCCCCATCCCCTCAGAAAAGCAAGAACTTGTACTATCAAGTGCTGGAGATTAAAAGAAAAAAAAATGTTTTTGCAGAACAGCTCACAGCTATGGAAGTTCGTGGGACAGCTTCATTTAAACAAGTTTCAAACCACTTACGTAACGCAAGAGCACAGCACTGGGACAGGCAACACTAAATACAGATTAACCTTTCTGGCCTGAAAGTATCAAAACCACGAGCTGCTGCATCCATGCCTACAGGCATGAATGAGGGAAGCGCCTGAGTAAACACAGCCCATCACTACCTCATTGATTTTATTTGTGCTGACTTTTGGTTCAAGGCAGCGGAGTCTGGCCCTAAGACAGCATTCATCAGTCAGGTGGGGAATTAGGCCCGCCGCAAAGCCAAGGCGGGACACAGACAGACTGAAACAAGCCTTTTGTGTCTCACATGTTGTCAAGCCTATTCTGCCAGAAATCCTCTGATCTCCCTGTCCTCGAGCAAAACCTGCCTTTTGATCATATACAACTGACCCAGTTTTCCAGGTGGGCTAAATGAGGCATACAAGGTATAGGGGAGGCGGGCRGGAGGGAAGATTTCCATAGGATCACAGAGGAAACAAGTGGCTAAAGCCAGAATGTAATTMTTCTTGACAAGTCTTATATTTCACTCTTTATCTATATCTGGCTATTTTTGTGCTGCCTACCTTGAGCTTCCTCAATCAGAATTCAGTTAGGCTTTGGAGGGGAGGTTCATCTCATTATTATTATTAACTTCATAACTTAAGATTTTCAAATGCCAAGCACAGGATAGTAATTAATGATGTTTATACATGTACATATACTCAAAAACTTACAGTAGCGGCATAATCCAGCCTTTAAAGACATATCAGTTATTTCTGTGTATAGTAAGTTACATGGAATAGGTCCATCYGAAGATGAAACATTCTTTTTACTTCTTCACTGAACCTGAAATTTGCATATTCCTATTCTACATAGATTCAGAGCAGAGCCTTCTGTATATGTAATCTACACATGCTTGAGGTATGGCCACATTTTTTGGTTTGTTTGTTTGTTTTTTGTGCAGTGCAGTCAGCACAATGAAGTATGGGTTCAGAATTACAGCTCTTAAAGACCATGACAAGATGACAGTGTTGCATGTCTTGTTTCACAAGTGTGTTAACAGGTCCAGCCAGGAACCAGACCAAGCTGGGGATGAGGACGAGTTTGTCAGGGTGGTTAAGAGCGAGAATGGGTTCCAGCCAGCTGCTCTTAAATTGGACAACATGTGGACTCCCCTGCACGGCACCAACCATCTGGCCACCCGGAGCCTGGCCCGACCCTGTAGCAGCTATGACAGCACTGGCCAGGCAGCCCGACACTTAGTGCCGTGCAACTGTGTGCACAGCCCCTGTCAGCAAGACCCGAGCTGCTGGTAGCAAGTAACACATCCCCACAGAAACAGCAGCTTGAAGCCTACAGAGTAATAAGCAGTCATGAATATATTCTATGAATATTTTCTTTGAATAACCTTGTGATATGATAGTGGCACTTGCTGATTTGAATAAACCGTGGCAGAACAGATATGCACCCATAAGCAGAACAGGAGGCTGACACGTTAGAGTCACTCTGTGAGCATCTGAATAGTTAAAGAGACACATCATCACAACACAGATCATTGTTTGCAGAAAAAGAAGTCTTTTCTGATTACCTCATGTTATTTCTTAAGCTAAATGATGATGTCAAGTAAATTAAACATCAAAGCAGTGAAGTAGCCATTACTAATGCTAAATAAGATCCTAGTTTAGCAAGGGTACTATATCCAGATATGTCACGACTGGGTGCACAGTTTCTGAAAATAATATTAGCATTCTGAAAATAATATTAGATTTAGTGGGCTTTATCCAAAAAAGCTACAGTATGTGTATGAAATGCTTCCACAGCATTTTATCACCAAAGAGATTATTAGGACTTATCCTCATTCTGAACAAGGAATTTAACAGACAATTGCACCTTAGCCTCTGATGCAGGATTGCACCTGTAAGACAACTCAGACTGCTAAATTCTTCTGCCAAGAGCTGGATTTGTTTCRAGACCTGGCTAGGATCTTACTACCTATGGAAGTAAGTGACAYAGTCTCCAGGGAATGAGAGAGCTGGACTGGGTGAGTGGCAGAACCAGCAGCAACGTGACAGAAGATGACACAGTTCAACCGGTTGATGCAAAGCAGCAAGGTTACTGACTGCAGAAAGCTACATTTAAAAGGCTCATGAGGAAACAGCTGCAGTTTCAGTACCAGACCCACTGAATGCCTGACCCCCATCTCTACAGCACATGAAAAAAAAAATGCTTTTCTTGGAACATGACAGGGAAAGAACTGAAAGAGCCATCAGAAGAAGGGTGCATCTTCAGTGTGCAGCAACAGTGCTGTTGTGACACAAAACACCCTAGTGCCCACGCTTCATGTTCTTTAGACTGTGCCTTGGTGCTCCCCAGAGCACTGCAACTGGGGCCGACCTGGTGTCCCTACCTGTGGGGTATTTGGGACACACCGGTGCTTTCCTGTCACTGTGCTGCCAAAAATAGCAGCTCAGTCCCTCTCTCCCCTGACAGACACTGCAGTTCATTCACTCCTGCCCMTATCTGAAAGCTAATATTTATACATAATATTATTCCAAATTCTAACAACGTCATCAGGTACTCCTGGTGACTCTGAATTCAGTCACACATCCGAAAAGGAAACAGTCTAAGTTTATCTAATATTTAATATTTATATTTCTACAGGACCTGAGAATCCTAATTAAAAACTAGACTCCCCATGTACAGTAAAGAACAAAACCAGAGCAGGTTCTTGTCCCCAGGTGCTTGCAATCCAAATGCCAGGGAAGAGACACACGAGYATCCTAGAAAAGTCTTCTTCCTTGGGCCCTGGACGCCTGCCTGCATAAGCACCYGGTCAGCAGCCGGTAGTTTCTGGGAACAAGGTTAGAGTGCTGTAACCCTGGGAGGTTGCTCTGTCATGCAGGAGACTCATTGCTTACTCTTTCCAAGCGTAACCGTTAAGAATTGTGGTAACTGAAAGATTGCATATGTACAGGTAGCAATAAGCTACCCTGGAAATACGCTATTTTGGGGCTAGCAATGACCACCATCATTTAGAAATTGACAGGTTTCTGCCATCCTATGGTGCTTTCCTCCTTGTCTCCCTGCTCCCTCTCTGCCATGAGGTA